CACGGAAAAAAAAGGGGGGGGGTTGGGAGGGGCGCAGCCCCCCCCCATTTGCAAACACAATGCTTGCATGATGGGTTTCAAAAAAAAAGTTTCATATGCTTTGAAGCAAGCTTGCACGGCTTAAAAAAAGCGGGGGGGTTGGGGGGGGCGCAGCCCCCCCCATTTGCAAACACAATGCTTGCATGATGGGTTTCAAAAAAAGTTTCATGTGCTTTGAAGCAAGCTTGCACGGCTTACGCAGCCCCCCCCCCCATTTGCAAACACAATGCTTGCATGATGGGTTTCAAAAAAAGTTTCAATATGCTTTGAAGCAAGCTTGCACGGCTTAAAAAAAGCGGGGGGGTTGGGGGGGGGCGCAGCCCCCCCCATTTGCAAACACAATGCTTGCATGATGGGTTTCAAAAAAAGTTTCATACGCTTTGAAGCAAGCTTGCACGGCTTAAAAAAAGGGGGGGGGTTGGGGGCGGCGCAGCCCCCCCCATTTGCAAACACAATGCTTGCATGATGGGTTTCAAAAAAAGTTTCATATGCTTTGAAGCAAGCTTGCACGGCTTAAAAAAAGCGGGGGGGTTGGGGGGGGCGCAGCCCCCCCCATTTGCAAACACAATGCTTGCATGATGGGTTTCAAAAAAAAATTCATATGCTTTGAAGCAAGCTTTGCACGGCTTCGCGCAGATTTCTGCTGATGGACTAAATGCCCCGTGAACCATGCAGCCGAGACTGTAGGTCTGACAACGTGAAGCAGTTGTGCCAGACCCCCCAACCTTATAGCCCCCCCCCCCCGTTACCCCCCCCCCGTTATTGGGGGGGCGGGGGGTCCTTGATACTACTACTACTACTACTACTACTACTACTACTACTACTACTACTACTACTACTACTACTACTACTACTACTACTACTACTACTACTACTACTATACTACTACTACTACTACTACTACTACTACTACTACTACTACTACTACTACTACTACTACTACTACTACTACTGCTGCTACTGCTGCTGCTACTACTACTACACTACTACTACTACTACTACTACTACTACTACTACTACTACTACTACTACTACTACTACTACTACCAGAAGTAGCAGTAGCAGTGGTAGTAGTGCTACTACTGCTACTCGTCGTAGTACTAGTCGTCGTCCTCGTCATCGTCGTACAGTACGGTACAGTACAGTATTGTGTCCTATAGTATAGTATAGTCTAGTATACTATACTATACTATACTCTAGTAGAGTATACTACATATATATATATATATATATATATTTATCTTATATAAACTATATATATTCTAGATACTTTGTGTATATGTATATATATAGACATACGCAGAGTAAATTTACTATAATATATATATATATATATATGATGTACTATATATATATATATATTATGCTCTATATATACTATGTATATTTATATTTTTGGTTTGTTATCTGTACTATGTATACCAGATATACTATATCTACTATATATATATACTGTATGTACTGTATCTCCTATATATCATATTTATACATACTATAAGTGCTATATATATATATATATATATACTATGTAGACTATATATCGAGTATATATATATATACATACCATATATTTCTTACATGTATGTCGTCCATGAAATAAGTACCTATATATATATATATGTATATCTAGTCATATATATATATATTAACGTATATATATATATATACATTAGCGGGTTTAGGGTTCAGGGGTTCAAGGCTTCGGGGTTCAGGGTTTAAATTGCTGGGCTGGGCCCCCTGCCTGGGACTGGATCTCGCCGGAAACCTTTTGCCTGAACCCTGCCTGAAAAGCAGGTCTTGGCCTGAGGCCCCTTGCTGGGAGGCCCTTTGAAGCAAGGGATCCAGATCCCCAACCAGGACGCAGCATCACAAGGGCGAAGGCGGCAGCCAGCCCCAAGCCCAAACCTTTGGGTTTTTGGCATTTTAAAAAAACTCACAAGGCCACCACGCCTCCAACAAGGCCTTCCAGATGCAGCATCAGCTAAAGCGAAGGCAGCAGCAAGCCGCCCATCCCAACCTTGGACTTCAGGCGCGAAGGCAGCCAGCCCAATCCCAAACCTCTGACTTTTTGGCCCTCCCAGAAGCCCTCGAATGATGGACAGCTAAGCCCAACAGCAGCATCAGCATGGCGAAAGCCCAAACCTCTGATTTCACGCCTTTCCAAGCAAGTTTTCCAAATCCCCGCCCAACACGCAGCATCCCCGAGGGCGAAGGCGGGAGCCAACCCAAGCCCAAACCTCTGACTTTTTGGCTCTCCCAGCAGCCCTCGACTGATAGACATCTCCCTTGCAATGCCTAGGAGCTGCGAGCTTCAGGGTAGTTGATCTGCATCGATGCCGAGCTTCTGAACCCGACCAATGGACAAGAGAAAAATAACAAAAGCACGATCAGAGTTCAAAAGAACCCTAAACCCGTAGAGGTTAAGGCGAGGGTGGAGAGCCCGCGGGGGTGGGCTTATGCAAATCGGGGCGCGCGCCTGGGTGCTTTCAGCACCAGCGCGCCCACTCATTGAGACACCCCAAACCCTAAACCCCAGACCCAAAACCCTAAAAACCCTAAAAACCCCAAAAACCCTAAACCCTAAAAACCCTCTAAACCCTAAAAACCCTCTAAACCCTGAACCCTGAACCCTAAACCCTAAACCCTAAACCCTAAGCCCAAGTCTCCACGATCAGAAAAGCAACACTAAACCCTCACCCCTCAACCCTAAACCCTCAACCCTAAACCCTCAACCCTAAACCCTAAACCCAAGTCTATCAGAAAAGCAACACTAAACCCTAGACCCTAAACCCGAAACCCTAAACCCCCCCCCGCCTCGTCGCTTGGCTCATCAGACCGCGCCTCACTTCGCACGAGGCTCCTGGTCTGCAGCGCATGCCTGGGTTGGGCCCTTGAAAACCCTCGGAAAAGAGTCCTTCAGGCCCTCCAAACGAGGGTAAGGATTAGGGTTTAGGGTTTAGGGTTTAGGGTTTAGGGTTTAGGTTTTCGGGGTTATAGGGCTTGAGGGCTCTTAGGAAGATACACACAGCGCATCCCAAAGGGCTCCCGAGCTGCAGGGCGCAAGCGCCCTCGCGACACTCGTCGTCAGCCTCGAGTTGGCAGAGCACGTAGCTGAGGCCGGAGCAAAGCAAAAATCCTCGGCTGACTTCTGAACCCCTAAACCCTAAACCCTAAACCCTAAACCCTAAACCCTAAACCCTAAACCCTAAACCCTAAACCCTAAACCCTAACCCTAAACCCTAAACCCTAAACCCTAAACCCTAAACCCTAAACCCCTCCTAAAGGTTTAACTTTTAAGCTCCTTCTGGTAGCCCTAAACCCTAAACCCACAAATCCTTGGAGTCCCACTTTGATTTGGGGGTTGGGGTCTAGGGTTCTGGGGTTTAGGGTTTAGGATTAGGGTTTCTGGGCTGACTTCTGAACCCCTCCTAAAGGTTTAACTTTCAGGCTTCTTTTTGTAGTTTCTACAACTTAGTTGCTGAGTTCACAGGGCCCAAAAAGTGTACACTTTCATTTCTATAGGGCAGTATAGTATCCCAAAAAGTGTAAAGTGTGCTCACTCAGCTACTAAGACAGAAACAAACCCAAAAGGTTAAAGTCCTAAGAACCAGCCAGAATAAAGACAGAATTCTCCACATCAGCGCGTGCTGGTTTGGAGGCCTTGGTTTAGGGTTTAGAGTTTAGGGTTCGGGGTTTAGGGTTTAGGGTTTCGGGTTTCGGGTTTCGGGTTTAGGGTTTAGGGTTTCGGGTTTAGGGTTTACCCTAAACCCCAAACCCCAAACCCCAAACCCTAAACCCTAAACCCTAAACCCTAAACCCTAAACCCTTTGTGGATTGGCTACACGCTAAGGCAGGTTAGAGCCACCAAACCCAAAAAAGGAGGCAAAAGGATGCTACTGGTAGCAGCCAAGAGGCTAGTAGTACCTTTTGAGTGGAAGAGTAAGTGATGGTCCGGCCACTTCGAGCCAAGCGCTGCGCAGTGCAAGTGGATCAAGGAACAGGGTTTAGGGTTTAGGGTTTAGGGTTTAGGGTTTAGGGTTTAGGGTTTAGGGTTTAGGGTTTAGGCTTTAGGGTTTAGGGTTTAGGGTTTAGGGTTTGGGGTTTAGGGTTTAGGTTTTAGGCTTTA